TACCTGATTGTATGAAATCAGGAGTCCTTTGAGACTTATTTATCTTTAATAATCAATTATGATAGTGGTAAAATAATGTGATTGCTAGGTTATTTTTCTTTGAATGTTATTTCTCAGAGACAGTAAAATGGAATGACCAGTAGATCAGAGATTCTTTAAGTCAAAGGGCACAAGCATTTCAACTTCCCAGGAAAATGATACACTTAAAATTTCCACGATTAGGAGCCTAAGTATTGCAATGTACTTCCTCCTTTGAACATCTCACTTCAACATTTTGTTGATTCATGTATCATTTGTAAACACCAAACAGAAACACACACGTACCCCCACAGGATTTGGGGGGAAAAAAAAAACGCATGGTGTTGTGTTTATAGACTTAAGTCAGGATTCTGGAAATAGTGTGACATTAGAAGAGAAAGTATCCAGATCTTGCACTTGATAAATAGTCTAGTTTTCTTTAAAGGATAGATTTCATGCAAAAGCATCATGTTCCTTAACAGTGAGACAGATAGGGCTGTTTTTTTTTTTCCTTCACTGTTCTATTTTAGACAAATACATTGTTGAATGTAAACTTATGAATTTTAAGAAAACAGAAAACTTCAAGTAATTTTCATGGGTTGCTTCTGAGCATGCCCTCTCCTCCCCAAATCCTTGGACTTTAATTCATAGCTTCAATCCATCTCCTCTACAGAGAAAGATTCTTTGGTAGATAATTTTTAGTAACACTGCCCTTTTCAAGAAACTTTTCCCAGTTCACCTTTAAATACACATTATCTCTTTACTGAGCTTCTTTCTTTTGTTTTACAATTGCTATTGAATCAACTCTGCACTTTTTAAGGGTATTAGTGATATAGTTACTTAGTAGTCTTTGAAACACTATTTTGTTTTATTTTGCAGATGATCAATCTTTTTATCTGAGTTGCAGATGTGGTGGAAAATACAGTGTTTCCAAGGATGAAGCAGAAGAAGTTAACCTGATTTCTTGCGATACATGTTCACTAATTATAGAACTCCTTCATCATAACTAAAATTGTTCACAACTTGAAATGCTTTAACTGTGGTATTTAGACATGATGAGAGGCCATTGAGCGTTATCCATTCAAGGAAATGGATTTTTTTTTTTGTCAACCCTATTATTTGCAAAGAAAACATACAATTATCAAGCAGAGACCACCTCAGATTAATAGAGAATGATTATAATTATTTATGTATAATTTGTATTCATAAGTTGTCACAAAAAAAGATTTGGATTGTATTTGGTGAATTCCCATCTGAGAACTTTATTCATTTTTTTCCTTGACCCAAAATAAGAATTTTTCTCTTTCCTAATATGAGCATGTCTCCTCTTTTAAGTGGGTAACGGTATCATATTCCTTTATAGTTACTAAGTTTCTGATCTAACAGATAATGTTTCTAGTTGCTAAAATTATAGGCCTGTTGTACACTTAGAATCTTTGTGAATAACATAACCAGTTCTCCCATAAGGAAGGGCTGGTTATGGATATTCATGAAGTTATTTCAAAGTTAATAAAGACAAAATGGCAATTACAGAAAGTGTTGACTCCAATCTTGGCCCTTTATTTCCAAAGCTTGTAAACACTGCCATCGTTAAACTTAAATGTAATTTAGGAAATGGAAGGTTTTTTTTATTTTAATTTTTATTTATTTTTCTAAGATGGCTTCTCATGCTGTCAACCCAGCTGGAGTACAGTGCATGATCTTGGCTCACTGTAACCTCCGTCTCCTGGGTTCAAGTGATTCTCTGGCCTCAGCCTCCCGAGTAGCCAAGATTACAGGTGCTCACCACCATGCCCAGCTAAATTTTGTATTTTTAGTAGAGATGGGATTTCACCATGTTGGCCAGGCTGGTCTTGAACTCTTGACCTCAGATGATCTACCTGCCTCAGCCTCCCAAATTGCTGGGATTACAGGTGTGAGCCACTGTGCCTGGAGTAATTTTTGTTAGTAGAGATGGGGTTTCATCATGTTAGCCAGGCCTGTCTCGAACTCCTGACCTCAAGTGATCTGCCCACATCAACCTCCCAAAGTGCTGGGATTACAAGACTCCGTCTCAAAAAAAAAAAAAAAAAAGATACAGTTTTAATGCTTATATTTATGAAGAAGGAGCCATTGCAAAAGATACAGTTTTAATGCTTATATTTATGAAGAAGGAGCCATTGCACTGCTGCTATGATGAAATGAACTTTTATAAAGAAGTATTACTGACTATAGCCGACTATAGATGGCATATGCCTTAAAGATGTATTTTTCTGTGTATTTAATATTCTGTATACAGTATAAATCAGAACTCATTTAAATAACTTTAAGGGATTTTACTTAATTTCAAATGAGTGGGATGAGCATGTAGCTTGGCAGCTTTTTATCAAACCTGGCATTGTTAGATGGAACTTGAGAATAGTTACTAGTCTGACTTGTAAATGTAGCTGCTAAAGTATGACGCATATTTAAGAAGAGTAGCAGAACAAGAATTCAAAAGTGAGATAGATAGTCATCCAGGTTCCTCCTCCCAAAATATTTTTGCATCATAAAATTTAGATGACTTTTGGATTACATTTTTATCCATATATATTGAACAGAACCTGCAGCATGTGGGTTGATTATTCTTTACATTTAACAATTAAAAACAACTAAGACCGAATAGCAAATAGTTTATTGGTAAGTACATGGTTTCAACAGGAGTAATAAATTCACATGAACAGAAGACAAGTCAAAAGAATAAATGCTTACTAATCATCAGAAAATCTGTGGCTATTAGGGCTGGCACGTAAAAATCCAAAATCACTCAGAGGCCAAATCTGTAAAATCAAAATGAGGTTGAAGACAATTAGTGAAAGTAATGTCACAGTATCATCATATTCCCTTTTGCTATCTGTCCCTTTTCTCTATGCCAGATAAACACTTCTCCTTACTCATCAATCAAGAATAAAATTTTCTATATCAAAGACTTGAGAAAATAAACTTATATGTATATGTTTAAACTCCAAAGTTTGGAACATTGAAACATTATACATAAAATTATGTGTGTGGTGTGTGAATACATATGTATGAATATATGGTCTGTGTTTTCTTTTACTACTATCAAATAAGAGTTAACTGTACACTTTCAACCTAAGGGGTTGAAAGTATTTGAATATGGCATCCGTTTAAATGTACAGAAATCCTGTAAATTATCCAACAGCTCCATGTATTCATGTGTTTTTCTCCTTACTGCCTGTGATAAAAAGGAGGGGCCAGTCAAAACAATCTTCCCTAACAATAATAAATTCACGGTAAATCTATGACTCACAGTACTCAACTGGGGTATCCACACATTATAGGTAGTTTGAACCTAGACCATTCTTCTGTGCATGCTTATTAAAATATGCCAAGGATGTGAACATGGTTTTAAAGAGTTGTACAAGAGAAAATTGAACTTTTGGAAATTCAAATTGAAGTTTTCTTAGGCTATAGCTAAAGTAGTATGGGTTTTATTATTATCTCTATAGGAGCAGGGGCAATGGGGGAATAATACTTTGCATATAGCTATTAAGGCCAACAGGTTCATAAAATGTATTCAATACAACAGTTAAGTATACTGACAGCCTGAAGATTTTCAGAGATCATTTTGAGAGAAACTTTTTTTCTAGCTCAGAAAATAAACCTTACATTTTAAGCAGAAAATGGTACCTTAAAGAAGATTCGTCCTCTTATTAGTCCATACGGAATAGGTCCATAGTACCTGGAGTCTGTAGAATTCTGTAGATTATCACCTTCTAACCAAACATGACCCATTGGCACCTAGAATTAGAGAAGAAATGCAGCCCTTTAAAAAAATAAAACCTAATTTGGGTACTATAATTTAAAAGCATGTATTCAGAGGTAGGGAGACATGTCCTAAGGTTCTCTTTTATAGAATAGATACAAATCCTAAGATTGCATGTTTGCTTTTATTCCTTTCACAATAAAATAACTTTTACTAAACATCAAAGCTTTCAACTTTTTAAAAGACCTATCTTTTTTTGTCATATGGTTCCCAAATATTAATTTGTTATACAAACCCCAAAGTGAGGTTATAAGAGATCAAAACAGTGTGACAGGGTCATTAATTTAATAGACTTCAAAAGAGGTCATTAGGATGCTGACTGAAAATGTGCCCTTATGTCTCAATAACAGCATAAGCAGGGCACCACTCACTCAGCAACATCCTGGGGCCAATACCAAGGCCAGACCTATTAGAATGCTCATGATAAACTAAATGGTAATTGATTGTGACATCAATTACAAATAATCTCATCATTTTATTGGAGTGGGCTTGTCAGAATTCTAATTAAGATCCCTGTTCTGCCTTTGTACAGGCCATATCTTCAATGCATTATACTTCAATAATGACCATGAAGAACCAGAAGGACCTATTATAAAATCATCAGTTGTAAAATTAATGATGGTGACCTTCTCCTAAATGAAAAGACTATATCCTATAATGTTCTGTGTATAAACTGGTAAGTAACAAGATTTTTACTGAGTGACAATCATAAGCATATTTAGAACAGAACACACTGCTTCTTTTTTAAAAGCTGCCTGTAATATGAGACATTTGCTTATTACTATCTGTTCAATATAAACTAAAATACTTAATTTTCCAGCAACAATCTGTAAAATTGCTTTTTAAAAGTTTTTGTTTTACAGTTTTATTATCTAAGACAGTTGAGTTACTGACCAGATCAAAATGATCTCTGTATGGGGAAGGAATTTATTTTCACTATTCTTTTGAGCAGTTTTATTTATAAACCTTATATGAAGAAAAATATCACTGCTGGGTTTAACAAGAGATAACACAACTTTTTTTAATCTCACAAATTACCTTCTTGACAAATAAATGTATACAAGAATGTAAAATCTGCATTTCACTTACATAAGCGATTTTAAGATTCTGGAAGGTCTTATGTACAAATATTTGCCAAAAACCTTCAAATTAACTGTATTTTGATACATTTAAATGTTAAATTTATTTGTAGAAAAAGGACATAAGTTTACTGAAGGAATATCAGAAAGTATATGATCATTCACTTTATTAGTGGAACTAGTTTGTCCAAGGGCCAATAGCAAGGCCACTTCCTCGCTATCTAATAAAATAGACATATGTGCAGTGACGCATAAGACTGCTCTAGTAGAAAAATGTGTATATCACAGTCATCAAAAAAGGAACAAAATAGTGAATTTGTAAAAGTGAAATGTAATTAACATTCTTAAGTGTTACTTTGATAAAGCTACAAGGTGAACATGTTTCATGTTTAAATTTCCACAGTTTCTCTCTGAAATGTGCTTTTTCCTGAGTTCTAAAAACAGGTAATGCATATGAATAAATAAAACCATGTAGTTATGGACACCAATAAAAGAAAAATATTCTACAAACTAATAAGGCAACATACTAACAATCTAGGTATACCTTTGTCTGACCATCCCATTGACGGTAAACCAAGACCTGTGATCATCTCTTCATGAAGCTTTCCCAAAACTAGCCTGCCCATACCAACTTGATTCTTTCCAGCACTTAACATAAAGTCAGCCTTGCTTGGGGCCCTACGTTATAACCTTTATTATTATTATTTTTAACCTGCTTGGCTTTTCTGTCAGTTTTTACTATTTTATACCAGAATAAACCAACAGACAGTAATGCTATGATTTTATTTTTTTGATTGTTAATGACTTATTACATTATAGTTTGGTGCAAAAGTAACTGCAGTTTTTGCTGAAAAATACATTTAATGGCAAAAACCGCAATTACTTTTGCACCAACCAATAGATTTTTGCCAATCTGCCTGGTGAAAAATAGTATCTTTGTCTTATGAGTGAGACTGAATCTCTTTTCATGTTTAAGAGGCATTTTAAATACTAGAGAGATTAGCCCTTTGTGGTACAAGTGGCAAGTATTCCCAGTTTGTCATTTCTTTTATCAGCCTTTGCTTTCATGTCTTCTGAATTTTGAGTCTTTGTTAGAAAGGTTTCTTTTTTTACATTTAACTATTTTATTCTTTGGGAATACGTCCTGACAAATGGCTATAAGGCTTGGATGAATGTTTTTAATTTTGTAGAAAAATGACATAAGTTTACTGAAGGAATATCAGTAAATATTCCTGATTTTTGTAAATAATGACTGATTTAGTACCTTGGTAATATTTTTCAGTGCATTTATTGATTATTGGCAATGTGGAATATTACTGTGTGTTTTTTGATTGTATGTAGTATCCAGTGAATAGTCTGTCCCTACTTTAAGTCTTATCTACGTGTATTATATACACAGACAGCATTCATACATTTATCGCAAATATTTTTCCCAATCTACCTTTTGTCTTTTTATATTTATTATGTTCCACAAAGTTTTTAGTATTTTATACAGTATTTACTTTTATATCCATATGCTTTCTTAAAAAATGATTTTATTTATTTACAGCACCTAAACCAAAAGTGTAATTCAAATATTTGCTGGTGGTTAAATACTTGTAAATACAAATTCTTTGAAAGCACAATGATAACTGCCATTAGCTAGGTCACTTTTGTTGCATTTACAACCCGAGTTTCTTTAAAATTAGCAATATACAATGAAGTATCATCTCTGGAGTAATTTTTTTTTTTTTTTTTTTTTTTTNCATAATCTTGGCTCACTGTAACCTCTGCCTGCTGGGTTCAAGCAATTCTCCTGCCTCAGCCTCCCAAGTAGCTGGGACTACAGGCACCCCACCACCACACCCAGCTAATTTTTATATTTTAGTAGAGACAGGGTTTCACCATGTTGGCCAGGCTGGTCTTGAACTCCTGACCTAGAGCAGTCTACCCGACTCCGCCTCCCAAAGTGCTGGGATTACAGGCATGAGCCAACGCACCTGGCCATCTCAGGAGTAATATAATTAACAACTACAGAAAGGAATCTTCTAAAAGAAACCTAGAACATATCACCAGGAGCCTTTCATTTGATACTTAGCCTGTACTAAATTAGAAGTACTAAATTTGATATTTAGTCAAGGAAAAAGAAAGAGGTTCAAATATGAGACATGCTAACTCATTACCTGAAATCCATACATGTTAATGACCATGCATCCATTTACAGTAAAGGAATAATGCCTACATCTTACAGACTTCACATTTCATGTACCATACACAAATCAAAGAAACAGCTTTATCACTGATGTTACCTTTAATCTAACAAGATCTCTATGAACAAGAAAACCTCTTAAGTACAGATCTTTTAAAATCAAAGCAGTCACCTTTGCTGATCCACCTCTCTCTGTAGATTACAGGTTGGGTATCTCTTATCTGAAATGCTAGAGACCAGAAGTGTTTCAGGTTTCAGATTTCGATTTTGGAATATTTGCATATATATGAGATATCCTGGGGAAGAGACCCAAGTCTAAACACAAAATTCATTTTTCATATACACCTTATACATGTAGCCTGAAGGTAATATTATACAAAGTTTTTAATTTGTGCAAGGAACAAAGTTTTGATTATGACTCATCATGTGAAATCAGATGTGGAATTTTCCACTTGTGGCATCACACAGACGCTCAAAAAGTTTCAGATTTTGGAGCATATTGGATTTCATATTTTTGGATTAGGGATGCTCAACCCTTACACAGTCTACCAGTAAAAAAACATGTTCAAAATTACTCCTCCTTTAAAATATATGATTTTTGATATAGGGGAAAAGAGGGAATACTTTCTTTTACTTTTAAAATCAACTTTATAGAGGTTATTTCATATACAGTAAAATTCACCTGTTTTAAGTTTTGACACAAGTTTTGAAAAATGTACACACTCATCTAACCACAACTACAATAATACAGGATATTTCTTCCATGCTGACAAGTTCCCTTCTGTCCCTTTGTAGTCAATTTCCTATTGCCAATCCTAGACCCAGTCAACTAGTGATCTGCTTTCTGTTACTGGAGGCGAGTTGTGCCTGTTGCTGAATTTCATATAAATGGAATTACAAAGTACCTATTTTGTGTCTGCCTTATTTATTTCACAAGTTTTTATGATGAATCTATCTTGTATGTAAAAGTCACTCATTTTTTAGTGCTGAGAAGTATTCCATTGTAAACCACAATGTTTATCTATGAACTTAGTCATGGGTTGTTTGTAGTCTGGTGCTAGTAAAAATAAAGCACGATGAACATTCACGTACAAGTCTTATTTCTTTTCAGTAAACATCTAAGGGTGGAATTTTGGGTCTGCAGTAAATCTGTGTTTAACCTTAAAGAAACTACCAAACTTTTTCAGTGATAATATTTTTACTCCCAACAACCAATGTATGACTGTGCTCTTGCTGTTCCACAACCTCTCCAGCACTTGGTACTATCAGTTTTTAAATGTTTTGCCATTCTAGCAGATGAAGGATATTAAGTTGTGGTTTTAATTTGCACTTCTCTGATGAAAGCATTTATTCCATTGTGCATACTAGTAGTATCTTTCATGAAGCATCTATTATTAAAATATTTTGGCCATTTTAAAAATGGGTTATCTTCTGATTCGTTGTATCAGTCCTTTATTTACCATGGGTGCAAGTCCTTTGATGGAACTGCATATATTTTCTCCCAGTCTGCATTTTTTAAAAGATGTTTTGAAAAGCAAAAGTTTTTAATGTTACCAAGGTCTAATTCATAATTTTTTTCCTATTGTGTTTTGTGCTTTTGGTGTCCTAAGAAATCTTTACTTGCCTCTAAATTATGAACATATTATACTATATTGTACAAGTTATATAGCTTTAGCTTTGATTAGGTATGTGATACATTTTGAGATAACTTCTGTGCATGATGTGAAGTATTTGTTATATCTATTTTTGTTTCCTTTTTTTCTCCTTTCTACTGGATTATTTTTTGAATTCTATTTTGTTTCTTCGGTTGCCATATTCAATATAGATCTTATTCTTGAAGTTGTTACTCTAGGGTTTACAATATGCATCATTAATCGCAGTCCATCTTAAGGTATAGCTATCTTCACATACCACTTCGTGTAAGATAAGAAAGAATTTTGCAACAATATTTTTTTCATCCTTATCAGTGAATAAAGAATTCTGGATTAACAGTGTTTCCCTACCTAACACTTTAAAAATTTCATTTTATTGTCTTCTTGCTGTTTCTTATAATAGATCAGCAGAAATTCCTTGTTCTCAGTTGTATGTTTTTCTCTGGTTGTTTTTAAGATTTTCTCTGTCTACTCTGGTTTGTCTTTGTATTTATTTGGCGAGAACTTCTTTCTGTACTTCCTGGATCTTTGATTTATCATTTTGATCAAAATTGGGGAACATAAATGTATAGATCACCTTCTTTTCTACCCACTACCCGGGGGCTTCCACAGCCTTCATGTTAATCTGCTTATCCTGTCCTATGGCTTATTCATTGTTTTTCCTCCTTTCCTTCAGTTTGTATAATTTTCATTGATGTGTCTTCAAATTCCCTGATCTTTTCTTTTGTAGTTTCAAACCTACTACTGTAAAAACCATCAAATGTATTCTTAAGTTCTAGAAATTTCATCTGGTTCTTTCTTATACCATTTATTTCCTCAATATGTTCATCTCTAGCTCTTCAAAAATAGTTATAATTGGTGTTTTAGAGTGTTTGCTAATTCCATAATTTCTGTCATTTCTGGGTCTATTTAACTGATTTACCTGTGATTATGAGTAACTGATTTACCTGTGATTATGAGTTACATTTTCCTGCATCTTCACATATATGGTAATTTCTGATTAAACTGGACATTCAATTGCTGAGTAGATTTTGTTGTCTGTTTTTATAGAGTGTCAAATGTTGAGGGGTCTGGTTTCTGTGAAGTAGTTAATGGCAGTCACCTTATTCCTTTCAAGCCTTGTTTATAAGCCTGCTAGGTTGGGTCTCTATCTTATATTTTATTCTAAGGGCTATTCTAGCCCTACTACTAAGGCTTGATTTTTCCAGAATCTCTACTGAATGTTCTGGATATCAACAAGATCTATCCACACTGGCTGGTCAGAACACAAATGTCTCTCAGCTCTGGGTGAACTCTGGGAGTTTTTTGGCTACAGCTCCCCAGTAGTCATACATTGCTCAGTCTCTTAAGTTCCACCATAAGCAGGCACAATTTAGTATGGAGCCCAAAAGCCAAGGTAATATCTACATAGATTTCTGGAGATCTTTCTGTAGCTCTTTCCTCCATGGTAGTTGAATCCATAAATCTCAACCATTTAAGCATATCCAATCTTTACAACCCCAAACTTTGTCTCCTCAACTCAGCAAGACCACTTGTGCTTTGCTTGAATTTCTCTTCCTTGCACTGTTATCTGAAAACTGCTTTAAGACAGAAGCTGGAGCAAGTAAAGGCTTATTTCGTTGACCAGTTATTCCATCAGTGCCAGAAGCGTATGTTCAAAATTACCTAATTAAACAATTTTTTTGTTCTTTGACACAAAATCTTGCTCTGTCACCCAGGCTGGAGTTCAGTGGTGCTATCTTGGCTTACTGTAACCGCCGCCTCCCAGATTCAAGTGATTCTCCTCCCTCAGCCCCTTGAGTAGCTGGGATTATAGGCATGCACCACCATGCCAGGCTAATTTTTATATTTTTAGTAGAGATGGAGTTTCACCATGTTGGCCAGGCTGATCTTAAACTCCTGGCCTCAGGTGATTCGCCTGCCTCGGCCTCCCCATGTACTGGGATTACAGGCGTGAGCCTCTGCACCAGGCCCTAAAATATTTTTTTAGCATACTTTGTAATTTTGTATATAAAGAAAATTATTTCAGTGATGG